TATTTAACCTGTGGACCATAATTTTACTTTAACACATGAATTAAGACAACCTTACCTCAGGACTCTTGTCCCTGCTTAGTGATTTACTTCATTCTAATGCTTTATTTCAGTAACTTAATAACTGCTAACTCATTTTCAAATGATAGTAAAGCTAGTGATTGACCACATTTACAAAACGGCATCCAATGCCTAATTATTCATTAGTCCCATGGCAATTAATTTTAATAAATAAGAAAATACTATTGAGGCTAAAAGTTTGGCTCACAAAGGTTTTTTAAAAAGTATGACTTAGACTAGCAAATAAAATATAGGCTGATGTTGAACAAACATGTAAATATTGACTGGAGAGTAGATACACAGAAACATTAACAAACTTTTCAGTAGCTACGTAATGGCTATGTCTTAATAAATACATATAGATACATTTGCTGAATAAATAAGTCTGAACTTACAGTTAAATAAATACATTGTAGAAGACTTGTCGATTATGTATAATTATTGAATAATTTAAAGACATAATATGTGATTTGATCAATCGAGCTTGTACAATTATAGATACTTGGATAATAGTTACCCCTGCTCCATGCAGTTTAATGAAATCAATTTCTGGGATTATGTACACATCCTGCTGGTGAATAACTCATCCATACCTCAGAACAAATGTGTGTCTGAATCTATCCACAGTAATGCAAGGAGCTTCTAAACATCAGAGAAAAATGTAATCCTAAACTCATGAATTTTTGCTCATCACTATCCTACAAATACAGAGTCGTAGAACCAAAGAGATTTTCAACACAGAAGAAGACCGTTCAGCCCATTATGTCTGTGCTGGCTCTTTTAAGAGCAATTCCCTCAGTCTCATTTTCCTACCCTTTCCACATACCTACCTCAGTAGTTTACTTTGTTTCAGATATTTAGCTAGTTTACCCCTTGGAAAGCTGATATGGATACTTCCTGAACCACCACTCACTGCAGAGCATTTCATATTCTAACTATTCTGTGTGAAAAAATTCTGCTAACTTCCCAAGTCACTGCACTTGCCAGCAATTATCTGTGAAATGCTTTGATATGGTCGACTTTATAGATAATGCAGGGATTCTTGTTATTATTATGCAACGCAAGTTGTTGTTACTCTCACATGATACAGAGCATGAACAGCTAGAAACCTATGGTATACACACTATCATAACACCATGAGTCATATACAAGACACATCAAGGTTACAAGCTTACAAGTACAGTACCTTCTATTCAAACAGGATTAGAGAAATAAAGTGAAAGGAACTGGCATTAAAATAACCACACAAAAAAACAACCATAACATCTTATGGTGACAGAGGATGTAAGCTGTAAAGGAATGTTCTTCCTATGGACTTAATTTGATGGTCAGCCATTTTTGGAATGCAGTAATTGATTCAGAATAGTATAATTAAAAGCACTTAAATGCAGGCAGCTTTTCAACTTAGTCAAATATGGCATTATCTATCATTCAGTTGAGCTCCAAGTCTTGGGACCAGAACATTTTGGATTAGAAACCCAGTGGAACCATTCAGCCTTTTGAGGTTATTATAGCACAAGTCTTTAAAGGGGAATCTTTCTGGTGCTAAAACACTGTCTGGCTCATCAATGTAGACAAAGCAATTTATCCATGTATTGTAATGATAAATCAGTGAGCCTGTAGTGCTTGTTCACACCAGCTATCCACATCTTGATGTTAAATATGACCTGAAATGCAAAATGAAATAGAGATATGGCCATGAAAAAGAAACACTAAAAACAGAGAAATAGAAGGTACATGTGGTCCTTTGGTAAGAACATATTTTCTAAACCTAACTATGTGTAATTTGAAGTATTTCTTGTCAATGCCATCTACTTCTGACTACCATTTCCAGATATCTGATTCCTTATTAAGGAATTCTGTGATTAAACACCAGAAATTGGACCTCATTGTCAGGAAATAGTACAAGCAGTTTACCATTGTAAGTGTTCTGTATCATGTTGAACAAGTAGATGCAACAAAAGGAGCAAGTCAGTGAAACTGACCCTGAAAGTAATTGATTGACATAGTGATCAAAGTGGAACCAGTAAGAATTCAAGCGTTATTGCCATTTTAAACATTTTTCCATGCCGAGGGTCTTAGAAGGAAATAAGTTTTTCAGCAGGGTGAATCGTTGGGCAAGTTTCTTTATTCCACACGCCTTTGTTTACCGAGCAGTAAGTATGAACCCAGTTGTCAGTCAATTGGCTTTTCTGTGGGTAATAATTCCTTCAAGATAAATAAAAAAATGTGGTCACTCAATCCACGACAGTTTGTGGAACACTGCTATGTGCAATTGGCTGCCGTGTTGCCGTTGCAAGGACGTGATAATGCTCTATATCAAATGCAAGGATTATTATAGTTAATCACCAACAAAGCATTTTCAAAGGCAATTTCCCAATTGGATGAGTCATCAGCTACAATGCTCTCATCTTCAGGAACTCCCTCACTTTACTCCTCTGTCTCAACTCCTCTTGATCTGTCTTTAATCCCACCTTGAAACTTACCAACCTAGATTCTGTAAAGCTCTTTAAGATGTCATCCTGACACTATATAAATATAAACGTTTATGGCTGTGCGCAATTGGCTGCCGCGTTCGCCCACAAATATACAGTCAATTCACTTTACAGTCTATTCTGTGAAGCGCTTTGGGACGTCCTCCCAACGTGAAAAGCGCTATATCAAATGCAAGGATTATTATTATTATATACATGTAAATTTGTTGTCTGCATCTATGGCCACCTCACCTCCCCCTCATACCTCTCTCTCCCTTGCTCGGCATCTGATCCTGTCATTGTAAAGTGCATTCCTACAAAACAAGTTGTTTTAGTTGTATACAGTTTCATGTCATATATTTCAGGCAAGCTGGTCACCGTGGTTTCAAGATTCTAAATGCCCAATGTCAAAACAAGGACTAAGAATTGTTTTATTTTATTTTATTTTTATCATCTAACTTGGCTGACTATAATTAATGTGGTATTTCATTATACAAACTAATTGACATACTGACACTATTTGCTGAACAACTTAACAGTGTTTTTTTAGCAAATCAGTACCACAATTCAATGTTTTGATACTTTTTATTTTGTTCACCAATAAATCAGAAAATACACGCCAAAATATTTAAAGCTGCTCAGGAACTTTTACTTTGTTAAAGACCAACCAGGAGCTAGTCGTCCACTCTCAGATAAACAATTCATCCAGGCGCATGTAAATGCTTGCCCAGATAGAGCGACAGACAGGCCTTTGAGCCTGTCTGTCCCTGTAACACGCCCTGTATTCTGTGGAAATGGGGTCAAGCTGCAGGCAGGAATGTGGTAGCAAAGTACAGCTGCAACTCACCACGCCGATTCAAATTGAAATGGTGGACCTGGCAGAAGTTTTGTAAAAGCTTTGCAGTTTTACATTGTTTTTGTGGATGGGGAGAGGGTCTCCAAAGTTGTTATTAGAATTTCATTATAAAGGACAGAAATAACTACTGTGCACTACTTGTCACACATCATTCTAGGCATAACATTTTGTCATTTTCAAAAATGAAATAAGATTATAAGAGATTGTTTGAGATGGTTAGAGATGGTTAACCAAAAAAAGAGAAAAATGGAGACTAGTAACAGTAATAATAATCCTTGCCTTTCACATCATAAGGTATGCTGTAAAGTGTATTTTGTAGGCAAACCCCAAAACACAATTTTTTTAAAAACAAAATGAAAGGCATAGAGACATAGACAACCAGAAGAAAAAACACTCATTTTGTTTCACTGCATTCCCCCCACCAAAGTGTGAATAGATTCAAATTGAATGCAAAAACGTTCTTTTTTTTCTGTAACATCTCAAGCCACTCACGGGATACACTGTGAAGTGGAGTGACTGTAAGCGATTTCTGGGGGCGAACGCGAGAGCCAAATTACGCAGCCTGGGAATGAGTGGCCCAACAGTAACCCCAACAACAACTTGCATTTAAACAGCGACCTTCAGGCCGAGCAGCACCTCAGAGCGCTTGATAGTGGCAGAGCGTGACACTCCGGGGACGTCAGGGGCATTATTGTGCCAGGACCCCGGGAGGGGGATACCGTATATAATTGCAATGTGTCGTTTGTGATTGTGAAGATCAACTTCAGGACATGCACCAGGAAGTGTTTCTTTGCACAGAGAGCAACGAATGACTGGAACAGGTTGCCGGGTAAGTGATGGAAGGCCATGATGAAATGACCACTCCACTATTATTATTATTATTATTATTCTGAAGGAATTTACGCAGCGCCCATCACGAGGGGGTGGCGTCTCGCGTGCTTCAATCAGATCAAACGGGGCCTAAGAGCAGTCCCCACCCAGACCAATCTTGGGAGGCTGCGCTGCTGCCCTGACCCCGCCTGACCCCTGCCCGCCGTTTCCATAGCAACAGCCCCGCCTCGCCTCGCCGGGCTGAGCTGGTGACGGGGGCGGGGGGGGGCGGGGCAGGTCAGACAGCTGCTCTCCCATTGGACGGGAGCCCCGTGGGCTCCACAACAGGGAACCCCTTCCCCCAACACACATCAAACCAGCCATGGCCTCCCCTCGGCAATGGACATCACACCCGAGTTCGGTTTTGTATCGAATTAAATCGGTAGGAAGTGAGGAGGGTCGTTAATTCTGGGTGTGTATATGTGTGTATAAACCTCTGGCCTGGTTCTCACAGACACCTCCCGCCCCCCCCCTCAGAGTGGGTTGATATGGTCCAGCCCGGGCTGTCAATATCACTCGGTGACGCCATGGGACTCCCGTCCAATGGGAGAGCAGCTGTCTGACCTGCCCCCTCGCGCCCTCTCCCCCGTCACCAGCTCAGCTACAGGCCGCCCGCCCGCCCCGCCCCGCTGCCCGGCTCCACACTCAGCCCCACCCCCCGCCCCGCTGCCCGGCTCCACACTCAGCCCCACCCCCCGCCCCGCTGCCCGGCTCCACACTCAGCCCCACCCCCCGCCCCGCTGCCGAGCTCTGACCTTCCGCCTGCTTTTTGCTCCAGATTTTCTGCTGACGCTCTTCAAACCGCCCGCCCGCCGCCTCTTCCCTGTTTGAACCTGCGGCCGGGGACAGCCGGAGCCGGAGAAGCTTAGAGTTGTTCGATTGGGAGGGAAATGTGCGGGTAAGTGAGTGAGTGTGGAGTGAGTGTGAGTAAAACTTAGTGACAGAGTGAGTGAGTGAGTGACAGAGTGAGTGAGTGAGTGACAGAGTGAGTGAGTGACAGAGTAAGTGAGTGAATGACAGAGTGAGTGAGTGACAGTGTGAGTGAGTGACTGACTGAGTGACAGTGTGAGTGAGTGACTGACTGAGTGACAGTGTGAGTGAGTGACTGACTGAGTGAGTGACAGTGTGAGTGAGTGAGTGAGTGACAGTGTGAGTGAGTGACAGTGTGAATGAGTGAGTGTGAGCGATAGTGTGAGTGAGTAACAGTGAGTGAGTGAGTGAGCGACAGTGTGAGTGAGTGAGTGAGTGATAGTGTGAGTGAGTGACAGTGTGAGTGAGTGACAGTGTGAGTGAGTGAGTGAGTGACAGTGTGAGTGAGCAACAGTGTGAGTGAGTGAGTGAGTGATAGTGTGAGTGATTGAGTGCTAATGGTGGGGTGTGGGGTGCGTGTTAGTGATTGTGAGTGAGACTTAGTGTGGTAGTTAGTGTTAGTTTGTAAATGAGGGTGAACGAAAGACGCTATACAAATGTCATTTGTTGTTGTGTTTTGTAAGCATGAGAGTTAGTGAGTGCCCTCTGGCTTACTAACTAGCGGACAGTTGAATTCATTTCCCCTCTCCTCAAATCAGCAACAGTCACCAGTACTGGCCTTGGGTTGGCTATGTTTATCAGGGTCCCAGTTGTGGTCTGACTGTGTGTGAGCAGATTATCCTACCCTTCAAAAGTTCTGTCGATGGGGAAAGAGAGTCAGAAATCAGCACGCCAATGATACAATAAACAAAATTGATGATCTGGATTTTTTTTAAAAAGTCTTTGCCAAAATAATGATATCACAGTGAAATTGCAGAAATTGTGAAATTACAATCTGGGATGGAATCTAATGAACAGCCTCGCATTGTTAGAGGGCCATTCATTATGCTGTTTGCCCACTGTCGAAAATGTTCAATGTTTTTCTATTGCTCAAGCAATATCTTCTGAAAAAAATGAGGATACATTCTATTAACCCATCTGAAAACCCATATGTCACTATAGGAATTAATGCAATTGTGAATGGCTACTTAGCAATTAGATGTTTTGTAGTACTTCTCAAAGGGATCTGAAATATTGCAACATTATAAAGTAATTTGTAAACTGAAGCTTCACCATGCGAGAAACATTGTATTCAGACCATGGAGAAAAAGTGATGTTTCCAAAATTCAACATGCGGCTACTTCTAATGGTACAAACACCGTATAGACTTAACAGGATAAAATTGTAGAAGACAAAGCTGCTTTACCACATAATCCATAATGGGTTCTATTTTAAAATAATACAATTTTAACATAGAATAATGCTTCCTTGCACAGCTGGGGGGTAAATGTTAACCTTTTTTAAAATACCTTACCCTGGAAGGTGCTTTGCTTTTAAAAATAAAGCATGATTCCACTAATGTGTTTCTTTATGTTGTTTACTTTGGCTCTACAACTCTGGGTACTGGCTCCAGTTGATGGAAAAAGGAGAGTGTTGTGAGAAAATAAATGTACTAATTTCTTATATAAAATCGTAAATATCTTCCAAGTAGATGCTGTGAGAAAAATGCTTTTTTTATGGGGTATATTTCCTTAATGTAGAGAAGTATAATTATGAAGTAATGGTAAGTTTATAGCAAAGTTCACTTCTCTTGGATTATCTGTTGAAAACATGGTGCCACAAATTCTAGTAGGGTTGCAAGATTCTGGTCCAAAATCATGAGAGCACTGTGGTTCAAGGTACATAAAACGAGCTTTGGATTTCTGCCTGATAAAAGAATTCAAAAAGGTTATTTGAAATGTATTCATTGGAAATCATGGCATAAAGGGAAAACAGTTTTAATGTTTGAGATCTACTATAGCGCTAAAATAAGCAGCTTGAATATTTTCAGTTAATTGAAAAATATGACTACATGCATTTAATAGTAATTTTGTGGTAATCACAGTATGTTAGTTTGGTACGTATTCTATAAACTGTAGTGTGAAGTTGCTCATTGTGCAAGATAATCCTTATAAGATGAAAGAATATGTAGAACTATAAAGCCTATAAAAGAGTAACCTTTTAGAGTAAATTTGATTTGTATGTGAACCTGTATATCGGTGTCTATAAAGTCTCTTATAAACCTTTTTAACGAGTTGACAGGTCTGAATTGTTGATTTGGAAGTGTCAATGCATAAATTCTTATTGGCATATAAGTTTTATAACATTTTTATTGGCAACAAATCATCAAAATCACTTAACTGTCATGGATCAACTTGTATCACCTGTATCAGCGCCTTGAGACATCCTCCCAACGTGAAAGGCGTTATACAAATGTGATGTGCTGTTGTTATTGTTGTATCGGCTGCAATAACAAAATGGAGAAAGTGTGAAATGCTGTGCATGTTTCACAGTTGGGTGGGGATGAGTTGGACAATTCATTTGTGAATTGGATTTAGGCAAGTGCAGCACAACAATTAGCCCAGAATGAACAAGAATTATATATACCTAATGAATGTAGTTGGGTATCTATTTCAACTGTGTGAATTATCCTTACATCCCCCTATTCATTTACAAAAATAAATTATTATAGCATTAATAATTAATAATGTAGAATATTGGGATGGGATATTAAGGGTGAGTGTTGCTAATGTTGTCCAGTTCCAGAGGAATAAAACTATTATGATTTTAAAAAGTGCAGATTTCAAATTACTTTCAGAAATTTTATGTGTAATGTATAATTATATTTATTTACTGTTAGTTTTAAGGCAAGGTGTTTCTGCAATTAATTATCAATAAACAGATGAGTAGCTTAGCAGCTGCTTGCTTGACTAGATAACATGTTTAGCTTAGACTGACTACAGGTAAATACCTACAGCTCTTGTTTAACCCTTTGCTTCTATGATTATGAATTTTGCAGTTATTGCTGAAAGGTATAATCAGTATGTACTTTGCTATCCAGCGTTCAAGGTGATATAACATTTTTGACATCTTTATTGTGGGAGGAGAAGGAGCCTGAAAATAGTGACACAGCACAATTGGCATATGATCTGGCTAAGGCAGTTTGCAGGCCAATTGTTTTCTTTTCTCTGCCATATTAAAACAAAACATGGATAATGTTAAAGGAGAGTGGGACATTAGGTAAGCTGATTTGATAAAGCTCATTAAAGTTTATTATGATACTGACCTTAATACTACTTGTAATTCTAGTAGGTGACTTATGCTGTCAAAATGTATACTTCTGCTATTGCACAGGAACATCTCTAAACCTCTAAAGGAGACTTGACATATCCGTGTCGAATGAGAATTCATTGAACCGAGGCAACCTTGTCCTTTGTAGCCTGCTGGCATAGTTGTAATAGGCCTGGATCTACAATCAGGTGTGGGTTCTTGACAGTCTCAGAGCTATGGCACTTAAATTAATAAGCTAAAGATGTTGTGCATTACTTCCAGAGTATTCCACTATCTTTATGCTTGAGGGTGAAATATAAAGTGGTGGAATTAATGTTCTCATGATCATTGAAGAGAGGGAGCAGGAATCAACCTGAAAGATATTTATGAAAATTCATAATACAGTTTTGCCTGGACTCTATTGATATTTCCTGTTTAATGGCGTTGGTTAAAGCGTGTTCCATTTTGGAGGGGAACTAGACTACACTACAACAGTATTATAATAACGTAAAGAGACATGATTTGTGGTGGTATGAACCTTTTTTTAAAAAAAGGAGTACATTTTCAGACTATGCTATCAGAATATAGATTGTAAAAGGATCTAAATATTATGCAACTTCACAGTTGTCTACAGTGAGTGACTGAAGGGCCACTCCCAGATAAAACAGGCTGAATGAATATACACTAAATTGGAAATTTCTGCTGTGTAATTCTTACTGGGTGAGTTTTTAAAAATACAGCATTGTGATTGGTTGCATTTTCAAGTTTGGTTAAAAAGCCAACTAAACATGTGTATGCTCCCGTGTTTACACTGTGTGATTGGCTGACAACCCTCCTCCTCTCCCCCGCCCGACTTTTTTCTGAGTCTATGTAGTGGTTTATTAAAGCAGTAAACTACCCTAAAACAACTCAGCGGTTTTAACACAACAAACAGTCACTGAATAGCTAAAATGGACTCTGGCTGTATTTTACCAGGGAAATAAGGCTAACACTATGATTTTGTCTCCCAGATTGCTTTGCCTGCCCTCTATTTCCGGGTACAATAGAAGTGGTTTGTTAAGGCTGTGGATAATACTAAATATGAAGAAAATAAAAATAGAGGACTTTATTTATATTATTGGTAATCTCGTTCATTTGAAATTAGATGAGATTTGTATCTATAGGGAAGCTATTTAATAAACTATAATCAGGTTTCATTAAACAGAGTATTCATTAATTCTTATAAATATTTAACCATAACACTTGTTGGACAGTTTGTCACAAAAATCAATTTATCATTCCGTATAAATGCAGGTTTTGAAAGCTAAAGTAAAATCAAAACTAATTTAATTTAGAGGATTTTTATAAAGAATATTACTTTACATTTTCGGTGCTAAAATCTATAAAGAATTAGTTGATCAATTTGTGAGTTTCCATTTTCTAATCAATTTATTGCGATTCCTTATTAGCTGCAGAGACTTGTGGACTGAATGGCCTGTTCTCATGGTGTAACATTCTTTGTAATTCATTAATGAAACTGTTGAACTGGAATTGCATTTCTATGTGTTTTTTTCTCAGTACACACCTTCATAAATCATGCCCCATCGTATTAACAAATAATAGAAGTGTCATATCAAAGTTTTTTGATTGTTTACTTTCAAGTTCTGTTTATGTAACTGTGATGAATTCTGGAATGAGTGTTTCTATTTGTATTGTAAAAGTGCTAAGGATTTTGTTGTGTTTGCAGTGCAAAATGGTACATTAGGAAGCGTGTGGTCCAGATATAGTATTACAATTGTGAATGGCATAGTGTTTATCCAT